CTTTCCCCCTTATTTGTTTTTGTTTTGCTGCTGGCTTTCACACTACTAGGAAGAGACCTGAGAAATTAAGTGTCTTGCCGAGGTAAGTCTGGAACTTTTATTGTTTTTAAACAATGGAAGGGAATGGAAGTAGCATGAGAAATGTATTGGGGATGAGCCCAATAATGGAGTAGATGCCAATGAAAATGAGTTGTCACTCAAGAGTGCGTAAGATCTCCAGTCACTATCTAGTTGGGTAATTGGACATAGGTAGGCAGGGCAAGAGGGGGGAAATGTGTCTTGGGACAAGTTCTCCTGACTTTGGTTTGTTATTGTCTAGTCTTAGTCAGCTCTGAAGCAAACGTTTTTAACATATGGAACACAGTGTTTTAGTACATTGCCTGCTAAACGTTGCCCTTGGAGGGTTGCTGAGGCACCTTCCTTCCACGGGAAGGCTTTTCCTCTCACTTACTTTCATCCGGCTATTCAGAGTTCTTGGAATCCTCCTTTTGAAAACATACTCAGTAATTTTGACTTCCATATATTTGTACACCCTTCTAGTCCCACAAACAAGAAAGCTGTTTATGTACTCTTAACCATCTTTGAGTTTTTCCTTGCCGTCTTCATTTCAGATGTCAGGACATCTCTCTTTTTTAGTTTTTGCATGTGCCTTTACTCTCAGGGCCTCTGAGAGAGTCAGATATCTCTAGAATAACAACAGATGTCATCCCTGTTGGGAAGAGACTAGACTGTCTTTTTCATTTCAAGACATCACTCTTTTATTTCTTGCACATGGTTTTCCTTTGAGGGCTTCTCAGAGAGTCGAGTACTTCACAAAGGACAGACTTCTTTCCTGGTTGGGATGAGACTAGACTTTGCCTGGAAGTGGAAACCTTAAAGACAATGAGCAACCAGGAGGAAGTCCTATCAGTGTGCACAGACTCAGTTGACTGCTGGCTGACTTGGATCTCGCTAACAGAAACACACTAGAAAACTCGAACTCTAGAAAATGCAGCTATTCATCAGAATCCAGAATTATTCTTGGGAAACTGCAGGGGGGACTCCTATGTAAGTCTGTCAGATGGAGTCAGACCTGCCGGTGGGCTCAGGACTCATTTACTTGAATGTTCGTTTCCTGGTATCTGGCAGTGTTTTGGATACTGAGACTGGAGTCCTTTCTAATCTTCTGCTTAGAGGAGTGGAGTACATTCTCCTCGCACTCTGATATCTTTCATCTAAAATCTCTGCGTATTTTATTCTGAGTTTCCTTGCTTCACTGCCACAGAAAGGTGGGTATATTTTGGTTTAAGAGGAAGTTGGTCATGTTCTCTTAGTGCTGAAGTTAGATTCTTGGACTCTCTCTGAATGGCCGAGTGACTGAACTCATCGTCCTCAACAGTAGTGAGGCTGCCCATATGTCTACATGCCAGCCTCCTGACATTTGTAAGGACATGGCCTTGGAAACATACTTTTTCTATGTTTGCTTTATTGAATAAGGAGTGGAGATCTGATCAGTAAACTGACTAGGAAGGGTCTACTACTGGTCTAGTTTAAAGATGGCCCCGAGGCATCAGATCTGGAGCCTTCGTCTGTCTTGTACTAGGGGAGTATTTTTCTTCTGCCCACAGAACTCCAGATTGAACTAGGTCAAGGTAGGTAGGCCTCTTGGGATGGGACAGGGGAAGTGTAGCCCTACCAGCTGCTGTTCACCTAAATGGTGACGGCAGGTGAGAGAGGAGCCAAGGCTGGAGTGGGGAGAAGCTGCTTAGTGCTAATTGGACTTAGGAGTTAAATGAGACTGTGGTTGCTTGGCCTTTCTTGTCTTCGGGAGTATACTGTTTGTTGGGTTTAGGTTGGAGGGTCCAAGGGCCTCATTCTCTAGGTCTTGTGCGGAAAGTGACGTGCCTCCTTTTGATCCTTCTTCGTGCTCTACCTAGGATATGATTTCTTGTCAGCATTATTGACATTTTGGACCAGATAATCTTTTGTCGTGGGGGAACTGTCCTGTGCATTATGAGCTGTCTAGCAGCATCCTGGTCTCTCCATAGTATATGTTGGTAGCAACCTCCCCACCTCCAGGCATGATAACAGAAGTCCCCTGGGGGGAGACAAGGTTGCCTCTAGTTGAGATCCTCTAACCTAGTACCTTGGGTAATCCAGTCTGGGAGCTTGGGCTTAGGGGTGGCTGATTCCTCCTCACCCCCCTCAGATGTAGGGAGTTAATCCTTACGGTTTTGAAGTCTGTCGTAGACCATAGAGCTTTCTTGTTTTGCTTCATTTTCCAGTAGCAAAAGATGTGAGGACAGTATTTCTTCATTTTAGGGATTTAAGGACACTTTGAATTATTCTTGAATTAACGTGCTATTCTGATTGGTTAAATGTAAAATGAGCTCTTGAATTAACATGCTGTTCTGATTGGTTAAAGGTGAAACCTGCCCATCTGCTTTTTCTGGGATCCTCATAGTCAACAGCTGCCCAGAGGGAACAGGTGGGATAGGGAAGGAGAAGTTGCAGGGGCTCTGAGGCTCAATTTTCTTTCATTATGTTCCTTCAGCACCTCCATTTATACTCAGTGACTGCAGCAGGTGAAACAAGGAAGGAAGAGACAAGAAAATCAGTCTGTAGTTGATAGCTGTTTTCCCGGCTGTTTCCCATGCTTGGGTGGGACATTAGGACTCTCAAAACTATTGGGTTATCAGAAGTCATGACACATTTTTGCACAGACAATGTGTATATGGTTTATGTTTCCCTTCCATGTATCAGAATTCGTGGTAGCGGTTGTACCTACCAGGGTGTACCTTTCCTTTTCTTAAAGGGATGAATCCCATTGTGCTTGCATCTTAGGTTTACTAAGGAAGAGAGGACTGGGTCCTTCAACTTTCCAAGTCCCCGTCAGCTCAGCTCTTCTGAAGTAGCTTATCATTTTATTCTCTTTCCCAGCCTCGTTGCAGTTTTTTGTTGTATAAAATGGACAGAGCAACCTATCTTATTGTTGAGGGTGGTGTGGTGTGGGTAGTTCTGCGTGCTGTAGAGGATGCTGTGGCTAGCCAGAATATATGCGTGGTAACTGAGTTATATATGGCTAGGCTTTTTCTTTTCTTTTTTTTTTTTTTTAAGTTTATTTACTTTTATGAAAGAGAAAAAGAGATCTGTGGGGAGCGCCCCCACAAGATCTCAGCACAGTGATCTTCCCTCAGCCAGCCAGTATTACAGTCATGTGTGTTCTGTGTATATAGAGAGCTCTTGGGATGTGAGCCTGACCCTCCTACGTGAGCCCAGCATCACAGAACATCATATTACCTCTGTGCCACTGTAGCTGGTTCCGTGTGTTGTCTTTTTTTTTTTTTTTTAATAAATTTGCCAGAGGATATATGTTCTTGCTGGAGATGGTGTCAGGGGAAAACAAGAAAGCCTCCCTCTCCCAGTGTGGAATGGTCATGTTGCAATCCCTTCTTATTTCTCCTTTCTTTTTTTTTTTTGGAGAGGTTTTTCGCTATAGGGCGCGTGCGCTCGCCAGACAGACAGAGAGAGACATAGAGACAGAAAGCGAGAAATCACCCCCCAGGGGGGATGGTCACGCCACAATCCCTTCTCCTCCATTCTCCTCTCGGGATCTTGGGCACGTACGCACACGCGCCCGGCGTGAGTTTTAAGCCACCGGGTCCGGGACGCGAACCACGGTGGACTACGTGGGAGTCCAGCGACATAGCCATTACGCTAACTGCTGGTTCCCGTTATTTCTCCTTTCTGTCAGAATTTTGGGCACACATGCACACACACCTGGTGTGTTTCTCAAGCTGCTGACCATGTTGGATCCAGCCACCTTAACCACTGTGCTGAGGGCTGGCCCTCATGTTGTCTATTTTTTTTGGAGAGATTTTTGCTATAGGGCATGTGTACTCACTGGAGAGACAGAGATGCAGAAAGCGAGAAATCACCCCCCAGGAGAATGGCTGTGGTGCATTCCCTTCTCCTTCATTCTCCTTTTGGGATTTTGGGCATGCTTGCACACATGTTGACATGAGTTGCAAATCTCCAGGTCTGGAACTTAAGCCGTAGTCAACCATATGGGAGTCCAGTGCCTTAGCCACCATACCACCTTCTGGTCCCACTTGTTGTCTATTTTTTTTAAGAATTATTTTGTTTAGCTTTATTTTAATTTGATAAGAGAGGGACAGAGCAAGAGCAAGAGAGAGAAGGAAAGTGAGAAAGCAAGCCACCGGACCCTGGACTTGAACCACAGTTAGCCGTGTAGGAGTGCAGTGCCTCTCACTACCACGCCACCTGCCAGCACCTGTCTGTTTTTAATAGGGTCATCCTCTTACTCTTGGACTGCCCTGAGATTGCTTATTGTTTGTGATGATTTCCTGGAGGTTAAGTTCAGCAACAGGTGCTCTTCCTGTATGCCAGGCTCTGCCCCCCACTAGGCAGTAAGTTTATGGAGATGCTGTGTCTTAGCCCCTCTTCCTGAATTGCATAGCACATAATGGGATACTAGACAAATGATTTTAGTACACTGCAGTAAGTGGTGTAAAGGCAGTATGCATGGTGTTCCATAAGAGCACAGAGGAGGACTACTTATCCCAGCATGGGGGTACAGAGAATGCATTTCCAAGATGGCATCTGAGCTGACTCTTAAAGTATGAGTAGGAGTAAGACATCTGAAAAAGAGTGGTGGTGGTGGGGGTGTGGAATAGAGAAGGGAGAGGGGAATTCAGACAAAGGGAAAATAGCCTGAAGATAGGTGTAGAGAGATGAACTGCATGATATATGTGAACTGTTGGGTTGTTAGAAAAGTCAATGTATTTTTTTCTGTTTTTGTATGCAAAAGCAAGTCAGGACTTCTCCAATGATGCAATATAAACAAACTGATAATGTTAGAGAATAAAAAAGTGGAATGTGGTAGATGAGGTCAGCAAGGTAGACTTGATCTTGGAAGGCTTCATGCACTCTAAGGAATTTAGAGGTTCTTATAGGTAGGAGGGAGTTGTAGGAGGTCTTAAGCAGGAAAGTGGTGTGATCAGTTGTGTTTTTTAGGTAGCTAACTCAGCCACATGTTGGAGATGGATTTAGATGGTTGATTGGTGATAGAGAAAACTGTTAAAGAGAGGCAATTGCAATAGAGCATTTGAGAGATTCTTGGGAGCTGAACCAGGGCAGTGGAAGTGGAAAGGTGTGGCAAATTCAGGAAATATTTAGAAATAACACCAGCAGTTTTTTTTATTGATGGATAATTGGAGGTTGTGGTCAGAGGGTGGAGCCTGGTATCCAGTGGTACTATCTGGCGGGGGAGGTTAAAGCTGCTGGGCTTGGTTAATGGCTGGGTCACTGACATACTCAGGATGACAGAGGAACTTTGTGAATCAAATATCAGATTATATAGTAAATGTAGAGCTTGATGGGTCAGATCAGAGGCTGGCAGATGATGACCGCCACAAGGTTATATAGGTTGAAGGATGGTGTATCCAAATGATGCGGAGATCAAGGGGGCACAAGTGGCATAGCAGAATTACAAAAACGCTCAGTGTGGGAACTTCATGTTTGCTGACTGATTTTATTATTTTAAAAAATTTGCCAGAGGGCACACGTGCTCTTTAGAGACTGACAGTGAGAAGTAGAGAGAGTGCCAGACAGCACCCCTCCCCCCATGAGGGATAATCATGCCGCAAGTCCCTTTGCCATTTCTCTTTTCCTTTTGGGTTTTGGGCATGCTTGCCCACGTGCCCAGTAGTTTTCAAGCCTCCGGGTCCGGGTGTCGAACTGTGCAGTTGGTCATGTAGGCTCTGCCTGCCTTAACAGCCACACCAATGGTCAGTCCAATGTTTATTGATTTAAATCCACAAGTTTTGGTGAATATTACAACTTTCTGAGCAGTTACTGTTTCTAGACTTGTTTGGATTATAGGAAAAATATGAATAGGTTTGTAGAGGGCTGAGTCTGGGCCTCAGAGGTCAGGGATCCTTGCCTTCGAAATCTGTTTCACTACCAGTTATAAGGTTTAAGAATAATTTTGTGTGCATTTTCTCATTGGATTAACTCTGAGGAATAGATT